CACATTCTGCCCTTGTACCTGTGTCTTGTGTGCACATCTGTAAATACATGGCTGCTGACACACTTGGCGAAGACTATTTAGATGTATATTTCACAGGGCTTGGACTTGTTTTATAATGGAAAGAAAGGCCAACTATTCCAACTCGGAGATATAAACTGAGAGCAGGATGGCGCACAGCGGGGCCCCGGGCAGGGGCTCCCCTAGCAAGGAGGCCAGAGCAGAGGAGCCGCTGAAGATGAAGCACCAGCAGTAAACGGTCTCGTTTACATTTTTTGCCTTTTGGCAACACACCCAAACTTACTCCTTGGACTCTACCGGGGACAGCTAGCCTGGACTCCCAGTAGAGATTGGATTGAACACACGTATCTAATTCACCGTCTTCCGGGTGTCTTACTCAACCAACAGTGAGGTGGGACTGCCGATGGACACGCAACCGAGGGTCCCAGGCCTGCGAAGGGACGCGCCAGGACTCACACTGTACAACTCCCCACTGGCGACTGTGGATGTGGGAGCAGAGGGAGAAGCTAACATGAGTTTCCTCCCCCTCCTCACAAGAGGGTAAGGTCTTTACCCTCACGCACAGACTTCACCCACACCTGCATGCACAGCTCTCAGGAACACTGGCTTCATCGCCTAGCGCACCCAGCAGGTCCCGAGCCAAGTGGACCTGAGCGTTGTCAGCGGTGCTGCAGAAAAACACCATGGAGAACAATGACCTTCAGAGCCCTTGGCTACTTTCCCATTTGCTACCAAACTTGGAAATCTCTCCACTGTGTCTCTGAGTGGTAGGACCAGAATGTCCAGTTGGCAAAGAGTTAAACACTAAAGAGAAAAAAATGACTAGGCTACAGCAAACAGGAAACACTGCTAGTCCTGCACAGTGATTTCAGAAGACTTCCTCCACGTTGGAAACAATTTAAATAGAGCAATACCTAGTTGGATAAAAGTGTCATAAAACCACCTGGGCCTAGTGCCTTTTTAGGGGGTTTTCGGCTTCATGGATCCTGATGGAGCTTTCTACTTCTGTCAGTTTTTGTCATATCTAAGACACAAATGGCATTTCTGGGTGGGGACATTCTTCGCTGTGAAGGACTGTCCTGCGTAGTTTAAGATGCTTAGTATTCCTGAAAGCCAGGAGAAACCCCACCTCAGGCAGTCACTGTGGTGACTCAGTTACTCTCCCAGACAGTCCATTCCAAAGGGATGACAGCAGCAGTAACTAACCACATAAAATCCATTTCTATAAATTCTCTTATTAATTTTTGTTTTGAAAAAGTACTTTAAAAATGTACTGTAGCCCTGGCCAGTTTGGCTCAGCGGTTAGAGCGTCGGCCTGCGGTCCAGAGAGACCCGGGTTCGGTTCCCGCTAAGGGCATGTACCTCGGTTGCAGTTTGTCCCCGGCCCTGGTTGGTCGTGCGGGTGGCAGCCACTCGATGTGTCCCTTCACGTCGATGTTTCTCACTCTCTCTCCCTTCCTCTCTCTCCCTCCCATTCTATCTGTACAAAAAATGGAAAAATATCCTCGGGTGAGGATAAAAAAAAAAAAAAAAAAGTACTGTATAGTTGTAACTATAGGTTGGCTTCCACATGCTCTTACATCAGTGTAAAACATTTATACAATATTAACTTCTAACACGTCTGAATTTGTTGTTATACATATTCTTTATATTATTCTAACATGTTTTATTTCTCTTGATCAGAATTGTCAGATCTTTTAAAAACAAACAAGTTTTCATTGTAATAATTAACTGCTTATTCATTTCATTATTTCTGCTTTTATTTTTTTCTTTAACTGAACTGTAACATACATACCAAGAAGTATGTGAAGTATACCATCTGCTTTTATTTTTATTAATTACTCTCTGCTACTTTCTCTTGGTTACGTTTCAGTCTTTCTTGTTTTTTAACAAATAAATGTAAAGGTATAAACTTTTCCTCTGAGTATCACTTTGGCAAAATATTATCACTATTTATATGAAGTGTTTCCACTACCAAAAATTTCTAAATAGAAAAATAAAAAAGAAAACAGGCAACTCATAGGTTAAATGTATAACCATGATCAACAAGTCTTGCTCAATTTCACTAATCATGCAAATGCCAATTTCAAAAGACACTTTCCTTGCTTATCATGGTGAAAAACAGATTTTTAAGAACTAAGACAAAATTGTACTCATCATCTATTGACAAGGTAAAAAAACAACAACAACCAACTTTGCAAAATAGTTTGCAAAATATGATCCCCATTTTAGGTTACAAATAAATAAAACAATTTCATACAGTCAGCAAACGGCCGGGAGCACACACCACACTTTCCCACTGCGGCCGCCTCTGAACTGTGAACAGCAGAGAGGTGAGGAGAAGCCGAGCATTTTATTTGTATTCACATCTGTATTTTTTTTTTTTAATTTTTCCAGTGTGTAAATACAAATGTAATTTTTTAAAAAACTCCCATCCCACCCCTCACACTGCAATTTCTTAAATTTTATAGTAAGGAGGGCTGGAAGCTCTGTAGTCTCATTAATGTGGCCGTTTGAAAGCTGATAAATTAATTCAGAAAAGCTGTCTAAGATCATGACATTAGTGGAACATGATTTGCCTCGCTCTTACCAGCCCTAGCAGGCATTCTTTCCAGGCTACTGAGAAACTGGCAGAGTCCATTTTCATATTTAAGCCTCAGCTCCTTTGTCTGAAAGTGGTTCGAGTGATCCCAGCACCTCGCCTGGAGGCAGGCACACCCCACGCTGCGGCTCAGTCAACTCTGCTCCCCAGGCTCCCGCTCTCCACCTTGGCCCAGAACTGCAGAGCTGGCAGAGGCCAAGGCACAGGGGGCCTGGTCTCCTTGGCACTTAGCTCCTGCCTTAACCTGGAGGTCTTTTGATCTGGGGATAGAAAATCACTGTGGCCCTGGCCGGTTTGCCTCAGCGGTTAGAGCGTCGGCCTGCGGTCCAGAGATCCGGGTTCGGTTCCCGCTAAGGGCATGTACCTCGGTTGCAGTTTGTCCCCGGCCCTGGTTGATTGTGTGCGTGGCAACCACTCAACTGTCCCTTTCACGGAGATGTTTCTCTCTCTCCCTCTCTCTCCCTCCCACTCTATCTGAACAAAAAATGGAAAAATGTCCTCGGATGAGGATAAAAAAATAAATAAAAATAACTAAATAAATCAATAAAATAAAATAAAAATTAGACTTGGTCAAATTTAAGAATCTCTGCTCTTCGAGAGACATATTTCAGGGAATAGAAAGATAAATCACAGGCCAGGAGAAAAATCATAGAACTTATAAAGAACTTTTGTCCAAATTATATATAAAGAGCACTTACAACCCAATAAAAAAAAAAAAGACCCCAAATTTTTTAAATAAGTGAAAGATTTGAACTTTTTTAGGTTTAAGGACGGTAAATAATTACATTAATAGATACTCAAAAATCATTAGTCTTTAGGACAAGGAAAATTAAATCCACAATGAAATACCACTATACACCTATTAGAATGGCTAAAAAAATGTAAAACTTGACAAAATTAAGCACTGGGGAGGACACATAACATCTACTGGTGAGAATGCAAAATGGTACCATCACTCTAGAAAATGGTTTGGCAGTTTCTTATAAACTTAAACATATATTTACCTAGGGCCCAGTCATCCCATTCCTAGTGTTTACCCAAGAGAAAGAAAACCCATGTTAACATAAAAATTTGTATGCAAATGTTCATAATAGCTTTCTTTGTAATTTCCCCAAACTGTAAATGTCTCTTGACTAGAAGAACTGGCTAAACTGTGGTACATCCACACAAAGGAATACGACTCGGCAATGCAAAGGCACACATGACTGATATATGCAACATGGATGAATAGCTAATGAATTCTCCAAGTGACAGGGGACAGACTGAAGAAATAAATGTGTGATTCCATTTATACTACTTTCTAGAAGAGGCAATACAACTGGGACAGACATCAGCAGTGCCTGCCAGGGGTAAGGGAAGGGTGTAGGGGTGACACAAAGGGACACCGAGAATTAAATGATTGCATTTGCCAAGACACACAGAATTATACACAAAAGGGTGTTTTACTGTATCTAAATGATGATTTTTTTTTTTAAGTTCCAAATGGAAACCAGAAAAACAAAACAAAGCTAAACTTAAAAACCCACCGAGTTTATGCATGCCGGAGACAAACCTTTTAAACAGGACCTGGGACCTTTAAAATCAAGATGCACCATGTCACCCACATATGCACAAGCTCTCCCTGCCTCCCCCAGCTGACGGCCTAGCAAAGGGTACTTCCAACGAAACTCGCATCCCTCACTCTTACCTGAACTGTGGACTGGAAGAAGGCTCAAAGAATGCCCAGTGAAGGACCTCGTCCCTGCAAGCTACAGAGAGCGGAGGACAGGCCACCGAGCTCCCTCACACTGCAGCGGGAAGTGCCCTGCCCTTCCTGTTCTTCCACTTGAGAGGCGGTCACGGACTGTCCGGCAGGGCGCACTCACCTCTGCGGTGCCCGTCCCCAGGGCCGGCTGGATCCCGTCCCGCAGCATTCACTCCCTCACAGAGGAAGCGAATGTGCAGCAGCCAGGAAAGTAGGCCAAGGCGACAGCACTCTCGTTACCTGGTGGCAGCCAATCACGGCCCCTTCCCAGGAGTGCCTCACTCTGAGGTCAGGACTCAAAGCGGAGTCTGTGCCGTCAGCCTGAACCCAAAGGGACTGACCTGTTGGACTTGTTTTTCCACAGCATTAACCTGAGGGCTTATGACTTGAGACCCCGATTCGACCTCTGCCCCAACACTGGCAGCCTCTCCTTTCCCGTCCATCCACACCCAGCCTGCGTGTGCGGAAAGGGGGCAAGCCCACGCCAACCCTGTGCTGTAAGCAAAGGCCACAAGACCCCACCACCAGGCTGCCAGGAACATCGCAATGTCCTTCCACCCAGGATCACAAACTTGACAAAACCTTTTGGAGTTGTTTTTGCTGGAGGGGTGCGGGGAGGGGGAAGGGGATATGTACCTTTTGTTTTTCCGTCCATTGCTGCCACTTTCTTCGTTTCTGCTGTTAACAATAGCTCATAGGGGTGCTCCTCCTCCTCCCTGGCTGTGCTCCCCTGAACTCGGGCTCTCATGGCCAAGACCTAAGAGAAAACACCACAGGGCTTTTCATGCAGGTGGCTGTAACCCAAGCAGGTTATGTTGAACAAATCTGAGATTACTGGTTTCTTTTTCATCTGAGAGGAAGAGAGGAGGAAAGGGAAGGTCAGTGCTTCAAGAGTCCCTCGGATCACAGCTGCTTCTGTGGATGCGCACCGGAACCCCAATTCTCAATGGCCTTTGATTAAAACATTCCCCTTTTTGCCCGGCCAGTGTGGCTCAGAGGTTGAGCGTCGACCCATGCACCAAGAAGTCGCCAGTTCGATTCCCGGTCAGGGCACATGCCCAGGTTGTGGGCCCGATCCCCAGTGGGGGGCATGCAGGAGGCGGCTAATGATGTTCTCTCTCATCGATGTTTCTATCACTTTCTCCCTCTCCCTTCCTCTCTCTCAAATCAATAAAGAAAAAATATTAAAAACAAAACAAACCAAAAACACTCCTTTTTTCTTCCTTCATTTTAGTTTTCAAAAAAACATAAATAACCCCGGTTGGTGGAACTTGGTTGGAGTGTCGTCCTGTACACTGAAGGGTGGTGGGTTTGATCCCCAGTCAGAGCACATAGGAGAGGCAACCGACTGATGTTTCTCACATCAATAGTTCTTTCTCTCTCTCCCTAAAAATCCATTAAAAATAAAAAACTCCTAGATCCTCCCCTCCCCTCGCCTCTCCCATCTCCACGTTATGTTATGCGTGATGTCTTTTCTGTGGATACTTCCTGAGAGGTGCATAAAGGCCTCCTTTCTCCAAGGCTCTTTCCTAATATGCGCAAGGCCCACCCGAGGCTGGAGACCTTCCTGACTGACCCTGAATGACTGACGTTCCCTAGAAACAAGGCACTCAGTGAGTCCTAACTCCGCCAACCTTTCTTCACAAGTGGGGGGCAGTGAGGAAGAATTTCCCCAAGGCCGGCTTCCTACCACATGTATAATAATACATTTAAATGAATTCCACCGATCTTTGTTCTGAACAGGCGAGTGGAGAGGCAGCGTGTGACTTGTCTGCTGAGAAAGCCCTGGCCCAGCAGCCGCGGCCCTGCCGAAGGAGGGGGACCAGGGCCCCTACACCTGCCAGTGCCCAGTCAGCGGAGGGCCTGGTGGCCAGCCGGTCGTGGTGCCAGAGCAGCCAGGCGCGAACCAAGCCGGAAACAGCGGCCCTGAGACAGAGCAGGGAGACCCCAGCAGCAGAGGGTGACCTGGGCCTCTACCCTAAGAATCCACTGGTTTCATGGACAAATTATGAATCATCACATGCCAGCTATTAGGAGAGCAAACCAAAGCACAGTCTCCTCCAGCAGTCCCTTCAGGACAAGTACATATTATGGGGAGGTGGGGGGATTCACCTTACAAACGCGATTCTTTGATGCAGGCAGAAACCTCGTCCTTTGCTGACATGTCGCACAGCTCACTGACACCGATCGGGTTGTGATTTGTCATGGTTTTGCTTCTCGGGGGCCCAGCTCACTGTGTCCCAGCTAAGGAGCTGGCCGGGACTCTCGCAGCCTCAGATGAAATGAGAGCCTGCCGCTCCAGTTTGTTAACAAGGCCACCACTCTAGAGCCTGAATGAGAGTCTCTGTCCAAAATCCTGCAAGCACAGCAGGAACCTCCACTGACTGAAAGCCACCCGGAAGCTAAAAGCTATTTCATTACAATGAGCCATTTGCCTGTATTACTTATTCCTCTGCCTCTTCCTAGGAACACAATTAATGGAACAAAGAGGGGCCATTAAGCAGTTCATTCCGTGTCAACTCAATACCAGGGCTTTGCAGACAGGATCTGCTCTGCAGGGTCACACACCCAGGGCTAGCAGGGCTGCCAGGCAGAGTGCTCTGCGCACAGCAAGGGCTCTCGCACAGCCCCAGCATGCCTCTGACAGGGCCTGGGCCCATGGCAGGCCTGCAGTCGCCCTCCTTCCCAGCAGCACAGGGCCGACGCCCTCCAGCTGGAAATGGGCCACAGACCTGCGTTCACTCTGTGCCTGGCCTTGTGCGCAGTGACTGGGAGCAGAGAACCACCGAATCGTGAGTCACAGCTAGAGAGCACCTGGTTCCAGCTCTTCCATTCTGCAGATGATAAAACCTGGTTCCCAGAGAAGCCAAGGGGTGTGCCCAGGGTTCCACAGAGAGCTCCCAGCAGCGCCAGGGCCATAAAACCCCTTTCTCTGATCCTGGACCAAACTGGCTTCACTTCTTTTCTGGGAGATACAATTTCTTCACCCAATTTGGAAGTCTGTCCCCTCTTCAGATGTCTGAGAGTCCCCCACTTTTTTTTTTAATCCTTACTCAAGGACATTTTTTGTTCAGATAGAGTGGGAAGAAGAGACAGAGAGAGAGAGAGAGAGAGAGAGAGAGAGAGAGAGAGAGAAACATTGACATGAAAGGGACACACTGAGTAGCTGCCTCCTGCACAACCCAACCAGGGCCGGGGACAAACTGCAACCGAGGTACGTGCCCTTAGCGGGAACCGAACCCGGGACTCTCTGGACTGCAGGCGGACGCTCCAACCGCTGAGCCAAACCGGCCAGGGCAAGTCCCCCACTCTTATGCAGACAAATTGCAGGGTGACATTTTTGCTGTCCTGGCCCCTGCCAGCGATGGGATTAAAATCTCACAATAAAGCAATAAACCACTTTTCTTCACGCCTTCCTAGCTCCCCCTCAGGAAGCCCTGTGTCACAGTGAATATGGCATTAATGGATTTTCAACCCAAAGGATTCTGCTCTTGACTAAATCACTACTTAATCTTTTCCCCCCTTTCCCAGGGCTGGCAATAAATCAAAGCCAAAAAACAACAACAAAAACACCTCCACATATTCTCGGCTATACAGAAAGCAACATTTTTGTTGCAGAGAAAAGCCAGTATCACCAAATACAGCCAATGGAATGGCCAGCTTGGGTGCGGGCCGCTTTCCGGGAGGAGACGCCATGGCAGCTGCGACTTCCCATTAACGTTTATCGTATCTGAGCAGAGAGGTGCACGGTCAGCCCATGCAGCTGGCAGCCCACCTGGGGGGCGGGGGACACGACCATCTACATGCATGTGTGCATGTGCGTGTGCACGTGTGTGAAGCTTCCCCTAAAGGCTTCCGTGGGTCACCTGACACTGACAAGCCTCCGGAAGAGGACACAAACAACGGAGTAGATCGCTGGTGAAATACAAAAGTCTAAACTTGGATGAAATCACTGCCTCCTAGGAGATGAGATTTAAGGTAGTAAAACTTTGAGTATAAGAAGTAAAAATGGTGAAGACTAGAGGAAAAAAAAAAAAAAAAAGTCCACTTCTGGAGAAGACCTATCCATTCAGACCACAGCAAACAGAACCTGCCTTGATCATTAAAAGGCTGATGACCAGGCCACACCACCTCTAGATGCACTTATATTATCACTAGGCAACGTCAGGTTCTCGTGTCTTCTGAAGACTGACTCTGGGGTCCAGCTCACCCAGAATCCCAGGCTGCTCCGAAGCAAGGCCTGGAAAATGCATCTCCAACAGGGTCTCACAGCCAGGGGAGCAAGGTGGGGATTTCACCCCTACCTCTTGACACTGTATTATGGCCAAACTGTCTGCTCTAGAAAGTTTGGGGAGAATACAATGTCCTGATTACCCGATACTTCTTTAAGAGCCTTGCCTTATCCTTAGGCATTTGGAATTTTAATTCAAGTACTTGTTAAGGAGGTGGCACAGACGTTTACAGAAACCTACCCCAGCTGAACAGGCTCCGTGCTATCGGAGTTCTGCAGAAAGGGAGCAACAAGGCAACCTCCACGCAAAAACACACAGGGATTTAGTGCACGCGTCTCTGCTCCAATGTATTATCATCACCCTAGAGGCTGTAACTACAGAGATCCCTCAGTGGAGACATAATTCACATTTTGTAATTATGAGACAGAAAGAAATGACAGAATTTGTATGTAGCACAGAAATTGTCTCCTGTCTCCAACACTGACTTACGATCTTAAAAGGGCTTCCTTACGGTTATACGTTTTGTTAAACTAAAGCCATTCTTCTGCTTCTGTATGTTTCTATTAAACAAAAGAACCTATTTTGCTGGATGGTTCATGGCAATGCTGTAAAAAATTTAACTCCTACTTCTAGGGATAAAGTAATGAGACTTCTTTGACTAGTTTATATTAGCTGATTTTTAAATGAAAGAAAAATAGGGCATTAAGTGAGCTACAAAATAAACTACTGAAATTATGTAATATTTTAAATAAATACTCAATAAATATTCTCTAAATGGTAAGAGGAATTAAAGGAGCATTTCGAAGATGAAAGATCAGGGAAAATATGATCTTCATAAACCTGAGAGAAGATGGAACTGTTTGCCCCATGATAACATTTCTGTTTCAGAAAGTGGACTGTTCTTTTAAAATCACCTCCTTGGATCCACCCTCCCCCCATTTCTCTCCTAATGGAGTTTCGTCACATTCTCTATGTGGGTCCTGCTTCAGACTCTTCACGTGAAATGAAGAGGGAAAATGCAGAAACAGAAATAAGCTGTTTGGGACAAACCACCAAAGCCCAGCACTGTGACCTAGTCAGGGAACCAGGGGATATTCTAAATTTTATATCAAAAGACAACACAGGTGCCCAAGCAGCTGTGACTCGTCAGCCCAGGAGCCAGGGAGCATGTGAGTCGCTCTGCTCAGGGCGCGGCGGAGTGATGCCTGGCCTGTGCACCAGGCGCCCCTGAAACGCTCTGCTTACTACTGCTGAGTGGGTGTGACGTGTCCTGTCCCAGATGACGGATACACACAGTACAAACTCACTAATCCAAAGAGGGGACAAGCACTGAGAAAGCTGTCTTCTTGGAGCACACACAGAGGCACTTCCAGCAAATCGCACTGCAGTGAGGGGCGACCCCGAACCCTCCGCTACCTCGGAGGCCGGCAGGGGGACGTGCGTGTCCACGCGGTCTTCCTCCTCGTCATCCGGTGGGGGCTTCGCTGGGGGCGGCGGCCGTTCCCTCTGCAGACAAGAAAATAAGTACTTCACTATCTCTCTCTTTTTTTTAAAGTCTCTAACTCTTTGGCTTACTCTTATCTTCGCCCTTGGAAATGAAAAGAATGTAAAGCACTTCCCTGAGAGACCAATGTCAAGGTTGAGAATCTGTAGATTAGAGAAGCTTCGCACAAACACACTTCAGTCCCCATGCTCTCGCTTGCTGCTGTTTGTAGCAGCAGAGATTATAAACACCTCTTTTCCATCCTTGCACAGTGGGAAACATCAGCACTGAAAACAGACCTGCCTTCTTAAGGCTGAAACATAAAACTCTAGGAAAATCTGTGCTGGGCTCTCCACAGCATCAACTTGTCAAAGTTCAAACCAAAGTCACTAAGGAAGTAACGAGGAAAGTAGCCAAGGACAGAAACGGCCACTCCTGCCACACTTTGATGATGCCACCTCCATTTATTGCCAAAAGCTCGGACTGGTCTCCAATTCTCGGCACTTTCTTCAATGATTACTATTACGAATCATTAACATGTGAAAACTCTATCTCATCTCAGCCCATTTTAAAAATAGTATTTGTCAGTTCTCTGCCCTAGATGGGGCTGGCACAGAGTACAGGGGCCACAGAGTAAATAGTTTAGGCTTTGCAGGCAGCTCCTGCCACTGTGGTACAAAAGTAGCCACAGAAAATATGCAAATGCACGAGCGTGGCTGTGTTCTATTAAACTTTATTTGCCAAAAGAGGCAGCTGTTTGTGGCCGTAATCTGCCAGCCCTGCCCTGGAGCAAGATGATCCCTGAAGAGGGGTTAGTCAGATGCCGGGAGACAGTTTCAGGAACACGCAGAGTGGTCTTTGGTGAGAAAAGCTGGAGGCAGTTTGCCATTGTGTGGCAGAAGCTTTGCATGCAGGAAGGCAGTGGGAACCTGAACAGGACTGGCTTGCAGGCTAGCTCGCTGTGTTGTCAAAACAGGAGCATTTACAAGTCAGGGTGGAGATGAATGCTGAGCATGTGAGAGCCTCAGAGATATGCCAGGAGAGATGGCTCTCCTGTTTCAGGAGCTGCCACAGTTGGTTGGCATTTGGCACTCATGATCTCTCTATTAAAACATGTGCCATGCCCTGGCTGGTTTGGCTCAGCGGTTAGAGCGTCAACCTGCGGTCCAGAGAGACCCGGGTTCAGTTCCTGCTAAGGGCACATACCTTGGTTGCAGTTTGTCCCTGGCTCTAGTTGGTCATGTGGGTGGCAACCACTCGATGTGTCCCTTTCACGTTGATGTTTCTCTCTCTCTCCCTCCCATTCTATCTGAACAAAAAATGGAAAAATGTCCTTGAGTGAGGATAAAAAAAAACAACACGTGTCATTGTTCCATATTCCATCTTGGTACGTTGGTCATTCCCAGTCCCCGGAAACAGATGGATGCCCAATGGCAACAACTTCAACACTGGTTCGTACACTGAAGCCAAACAAAGCAGTTTAGATGGGATTTCACGGAGTCCCGTTCCCCACCATTCTTCACTCCACATAAGGAAGGGACAGCCAAAGCAGCACGCCCACAATCTGCACCAGCTAGCTACCCAAGCGTGGAACACAAACGCAGAGGAAAAACAAAAAGAAACACAACAAAGGCCCTCCTGGGGGCTTCGTGTCCTGAGGAGCCTAAAAGAAGTGAGCACCAGGGACCCGGGCAGGAAAGAGAAGCATGATGCTTTTTCCTAACGTCAACGCTCTGGCCCGGGGCCTGGAAGGGCAGAGCTCCTTCACACACACAGTGTGTTTACACGATGTAGAACAGTCGGGCAGCCACGGTTAATTAGCAAGGGCCAAGAAAGTAGCACAGCCACAGCATACTCAAATGAAAATGGCTAAGCATACTCCCCAAATGCATCTGCTTCTACTTAAAAGGCCCACAGGAAGCTGGATTTCTAAAGGAGGATGGAACAAAGAGACTGAATCAGTGGCCAAGCTCCACAGGAACTTGGGAGATTCAAAGCCGCCTCCAGTAACCCCATGCTCTGCGTGCAAAGCCTCCAGCTCCCCCTAATGGGCATCACCTGTAAGTGCCACCGAGAGCAATGCCTTCCTTCACAAGTGGATTTGCTAATTCAGCTGTACTTGACAGTGAAAGAAGTTAGACAACAGACACTTGCCTTCACCACTCACAAGTTTTACCATAGTCCTTGACCACACCCTGTCTGGTGGACTACACCTAACAGCCAGCCTTCCCAAACTCCAGTGAAATGCAGGGTCTGTTCCAGGGCAGGGCAAGGAGCCTAACACAGAACAGCAAGCCCGCCTGAGAATCCCATGCGTCCCCCTCGCATCACCCTCGCGGCCAGAGGGCCATCCAAATGCTCATCAGCCAGATCCGAACCTAAGGGAGGGCCAGCCTCTCCAACAGGAAACCACATTCATGTGGAAATGTGCCTCAAGGTGGGACTACACGGGGAACCTGTTAGAGCAATAGCCAATTTAGTAAAAGCCCAGGACTCAAAACCTCAAACCACTGTGTCTGGCAGTGCAGGCAGGAAGGTCGGTGGGACCCCTGGGCCAGGCGGCTGGAGAACAACGTCTGCGGCCAGAAGCAGAAGTGAGCACCAGGCAAGCAGAAGAGACAGGAGGTAGGCCTGCGAGGGGACAGTCAGGGCTGTCCTCATCCTCATCAGTGGCTGAAGGGGTCACGAGTGGGAAGAACAGAAATGCCTCCCACTACACTCGCGATGTCTGGCGGAACGTGCTGCAGTCCTGCGGATGCAGGAATCTGTCCTACCCCATGTGGGTCATTCTCTTGAGGGCCGATGGAAGGTGAGCGTGTACTCAAGAGTGGACAGGGATTTATTTCACGGGCTCTTCCACTGTCCGAACTGCTCTCCACAGAGAAAACAAGCTATATAGCAAGGACCCCAAACACAGAAGCAGCATTAAGGTTAAATAGAGAGAAAATGTTTTCATTTGCTCTAAGGCCAAAAAGTAATACAAAGATGCAGACGGGTTATGTTGAAATTGGAAAAACTGCATCTGTACCTCATGTGACCTGTGCAGTTGGAGCACACTGAGCGCTGACGAGCAGCGGCAGGCCCAGGGCCCCAGGGCCCGCCAGCGGCACCAGGCCCGCACCTGCCCCGCACCCACACAAGCCCGGGGACACCAGAGCCCAGGGTGCTGAGGCCCTGGGCCACATACAGGCCTCACTCCAGCGGCTTTCACGCCCGCAGCCTCGGTGTCCCTGGGCACAGACTCTCGGTCAGACGACCGCCCACTGGCCATGCTGTCCAGCGAGTGGCAGGAGACGGCATTGTACAGCGCCTCATAGGGCCCCTCCTCTTCAGCGTTTGTGTCAAGATCGATGATCAGTTCAGTCACTGCTTTCTCCATGTCACCTGGAAAGGAGGTCAGAGGGCAGGAGAGTCAACGAAAGAGCACACAGTCTCGGATTCCAACCTGTGACAGCGAGCGGCTGCCTGTGCTCCACTGCTCTCCACCCCTGAGCAGCGAACAGATTTCCCTCTGATTCACCCACTGGGGGTACCTCCCAAGACCTTCGTAATTCCCAAATACCTCAATACTATGATAACATAAACTTAAACCATAAAATGCAGCTAAGTATAACGAAAAAAAACAAGCCTTTAAATTCTCTTTTAAAAATATATTTTTATTGATTTTTTAGAGAGAGAGAAAAACATAGATGTGAGAGAGAACATCAATTGGCTGCTTCCTGCGTGCCCCCTACTGTGAATCGAGCCCCAACCCAGGCATGTGCCCTGACCAGGAATCGAACCGGGACCTCTCAGTCCCTGGGACGACGCTCCATGTCCTGAGCCACACGGGCCGGCAGCCTTTCTGAGCTGGTGGCTGTGCAGCTGTGAGACTGCCTCACTGCCTCACTGCAAACCTCAGGGACCTGGATCACTTTCAAAGAGTCAACACTGTAACTGTAAAACCCTTGAACTCTAAGAGCGAAGTGAACTCCTAATCCCATTGTGAGGTCAGAAAAAACATGCGATGGGCAGGAGGGTGGACTCCGCAGGGGAGACAGACGGAGCACCTTGAACCCTGTGTCTCTGCACTTCCGAAGAGCTCCTCTCCCTGCTTCGTGTCTCCTTGCTCTGTTCCTATAGCCTTCTGTACTGTGATTTGTGTCTGGGCAAGGTGTCAGTCAAACTGTGTCTTTCTCATTCCTCATACCGAGGACCCAAAAGGCTGCTCGATAAAAAGGTGGATCCTGGCTCTGACGGGTGTGGATAAGTGATTAGAGCACCGGCCTGTGACTGAAGAGTTGTGGGTTCAATTCTCGGTTGAGAGCACAGACCTGGGCTGCAAGTTCCATCCCTGGCCCCGGTCAGGGTCATGTGGGGGACAGCCAATCGATGTGTCTCTCTCACGCATATGTGTTTCTCTCTCTCTCCCTTCCACTTTATCTAAAAAAAATCAATGGAAAACATCCTCAGATAAGGCTTAACAATAACAAAAAAGGTGGGTCCTGGCAGTAATGGAACACCCAGACCACATTTATTGGCCAAATGATATATCAGTCAAATCTGCATGGACATACCTACCAGCCACACGACACTCATTCACCATTTGCTGTCCTTAAGAGACAACGGTGCTCACGACACTAGTGTGTTAGAAAAGGTTTCACTGAGATTTGAATTCATCTTGAGAGTATCTAGCCTACTACACCTCCCAGATCTCATGGGCCCAACTGTGAGCTGAGAGTGAAATGAAGTAGAGAGGAAGGGGCCCTGGCAGAGGCCTAAGCTGTGTCCAATAGTTTCATGCAGTTGTTGGAAAAAAATGAGTTTGAATAGACACTTAAGTTCTCCTGAACTTCCTGAAATTATTACTTAAATTAAGATTTTCCATTCTGCCGGAGAATGTTCAGCTCTTCAAGCTGAGAGCCCCTCGAAGATGAGCGGCCTTACCCTGAGACTTCTGGGGTGTGGAGTCCGCAGTGGAGAGGAGCGGCGGCGGGGGCGTGGGGGTTTCATCGACCTCTTTTGCACTGCTTTTTTCAGTCATGTGATCTACATGGAAAGATGACAACAAAAAGCTGCACAGATGCAAACAGCTGGTCCGCGCGTGTTCCCGGCACCCCCGGGCGCTGGCTGATACCTTCGATGAGTGCCGCTATCTGCTGGCTCTTCTGAGAAGGCAGTTCCCGCACGGTGTCTAGGGCTGTCAGTCCACGGTTGTCCTTTATGTTGACGTCAATCCCTAAAAAGGCAGACCAGTGGACCAGCGGAGTGAGCATTTTTAGGTCAGACTAGAGGGTCAAACGGCAGAACACCTAGCGCCCCCAGCAGCACACCCAACATTTCTCATCCAAAGCCATTTAATCCAGCTATTCACAAACAACTCGCACACGCAGTCCACAGCGGAGACACACGTACACGGGTTCAGTGCAGCCAGGGGACAATCCGGCCCTGCATGCAGACAGTGCCGGCCTCACCTGCGGCCAGCAGGATGCGCACCACATCGGTCTTGCCAAACAAAGCGGCCTCATGCAAAGCACTGCCCTTCTCCGTCTGGAAAGCAAACGAGAGCGCAGAGCGGGTGCCGTCAGAACGGTGGCCTTGGTTTGGCATGGCCACCCGTGACAAATGGGACAGAGACAAGAAGGGACAGGAAAATAAACCACACAAAGTCCTCTGTCATTATCTTTCCCACTTTTCTTGTCTGGATTCTAAAACCACGGCCGTGGCCTGGCCGTCACGGGTGTCTGATGTGCCGCCCACAGGCCACACACGGCTTAACTGCTGTTTCCCCTGGAGCCACCTATGGGGAGGACTCCTCAGAACTCCACCTTCCTGCGTGGAAGGAGTACTGAGAAGAAAGGACGAGGAAAACATACTCCTTCAGTTCAGGTGTGGTTTGGTCAATGGAAGCCTAGGCATGGTCACTGTCTAGACAGAGGAAGCAGACCACCAAGGGAAATGCCAAGTCCCTGTCAGAAAAATCGAGCCGACGGGACTTGGGAGGTGCTAGCTGGTGGCAGTGAGAACAGGTAGAGGAAGATAATGAAACGCTTCGCGAGCTCATTCATGGCCACATCTTTGCAGGGTATAATGCCTACATATTGGCCCTGAAAAGAAACAGAAAGTAACAGGCGCCCTGGGGAGCGCACCGGCCCCTGAAGCCTCACAGTAAACGAGTCAACCAATGGAAGCGTCTGAACGCGGAGTGAACGTGCTCGGAAGAGACAGCCAGCAGCCCGCACTTCTGCCCCTTCCGCAACGACCAAGTCCCCGGAGCCCCGGAGGTCTGCCGGCCGCTACCTGGTAGTTGCTGTCCATGCCTGCGTCCAGGAGCACCTGGACCACGGCCCTGTGGCCATTCCTGGCCGCCAGGTGCAGAGGGGTGTGCTTCTTAGTGTTGCAGCTCAGGAGGTTGGGGTGCGCGTTGAGGAGCATCTTCACCACCTCCAGCCTCCCGTAGAGCGCAGCCAGGTCCAGGGGCGTCTCGAACTTGTTGTTGCGCATCGTGGGGTCTGTGAGCTCCTCTAAGAGGACCTTCACCACCTCCGTGTGGCCATACTGCGCCGCGCAATGCAGGGCCGTCTCGTTGTCATTGTTCTGAAGAGTTAACAAGCAGATCGCATCAGAAAGGTGACTGGCAGACGGGCATATGACTGGGACAATCACACATAAAACCACTGAAATTTAAATGAGAAAAATGGCAGCAATACTTTGGGACTAGAAGTCAGTCAGAACCCAGATGCACTCCCCCGGGGGCAAGCCGACTGCTCCAACCAGGTACCACAGGAGGGGAGCAGCCACCCAGCACTGGCCACCCCCTGTGTGGTGAAGGAGGTGACTGCAGATGGACCCAAGAGCAAACAGGAAATGTGGCAGGCCTTGGGAGAAGCCCTGGCACAAACGAATGCCAATAATATCACTGCCATTGACTCATTTTAAATTTCTACTGGTTTTACAATTTATAGTCAACCCTGTGGTTTTGATTCTGGATTTGTTGACCATCCACTGCTTCACACACAAGCTTTTTTGAAGAGTTTGTCATCCGCTTAGCTTCTTGCATGCAAGTCAATCAGCCAACAATGAAGGTAACAGAGCAGAGCACCAAAAATCACTCTCGCGATACCAGCCAACAGCCGCCTCCAGGGGAGGGAGGCACTGGGGTCAGTCACAGAGGAACAGGCCCCGATGGGCCCTGCACCAGTAATGCATGCAGAACCCACAGCACGGGGAAGCGTTTCTGTGACAAAGGTTCAATCAGACACCAGAATGCTGTGTGAAAGGTGCAAAATATTCAAAATCGTAACACTGCCACCAATTCAAGTGGACACCCCGTGGTCCTGGAAGCCAATTTTGCTTCAAACTAAAGGTAGAACCTGGGATAACATAGAAGTTTGTGCTTTTTCAACCATCAGAAGCAAACTATTAACTATTCCAATCAGTCTCTTTCTTTTACTACACCTGACAACGTATAATCGGAGCACGAATAAAGTGATTTCCATGCCCTTTCTTTTTTAGAAGTGCTAATAAAAAGAACTGTCCCATAAAATTTTGAGATTTCTGAATTCATCCAGGAGGCTTGTTTAGAGAAACAAAGCTTACATGGGGTTTGTCCATGAAGTCAATATTATGCACCTTTCTGTCGTCAAAAGGTAAAAATTCAATGTTTCCACAACAGCTTTAATTCAATTAATGACGTCAAAAGTAACAGACTAGAATTTACCCAAACATGCATGCAATTCCCTCTGCTTTTGGTCTGGCATTTGACTGCATCATTTTTTCCGGCTACACCACATGTACCAGAAAGATCCACAGCTGCCGGGAGCAAGGCCCCAAAGGCCAGAATGATAGCAAAGAAACTTTAAAAAATGAAGTAAGGACAGAAATGTTGGTAGCAGGAGCCACATGCAAGATAAATGCACACATATAAACAGAGGACAAAGGGGTTCAGGAGAGCAGCAGCTGAGAGGTGTACACAGCCCTCACTGGCCACGGACACAGCGGTTAGCAATGGTCTCCCCAAGGGGCAACTGCATGTCAACTTAAAAGTCTGGAGGGAAGGAGAAATGCTAGGCAGAAAGCAAATCCTGGGTCCCTGAGCCAAACCAACCACTTAGGACACGCATTTGGAATGCGCGATGCTACAAAGCTAAGGCGTGAGTTCCCCGAGCAAACCCAGAGCTGCCCCTTCGCCTTCTCGGGAGGAGACAGCCATGTCAACCAAACCCACAGCAGCCGCCCGCAGTGATCCTGTGGCCAAGCGGCAGCCATGGAAGCTCGGGAGGATTATCAGGGTCTGTGCTCAAGGTCAGCATGGCAGCAGGGCCGAGAAAGTTAGCTTATTATACTCCAGTCCAGAAGACCTCGTTTCCTCCGAAGCAGGTATTCGTTGTCTCTTTTATATCCAAGTTGTCTCCCAACAACCAGAATAATCTGCCCTTGATTTTTTAAGAAGTCAGTCATGAGGGCCTGAACAACTGTGAACTTAAATAAGTCTTCCCTGTTTGTTTTTGCCAGAGCAAAGGCAGCAGACACAAAGTTGCCTTTGCTGAAAAGCAAGGTCTTGATCACTACCAAGGGAATTTTCTGCCTATATTAAAAACTGCCTAACCACACCTCTGCAGGAGGTTCTGCTCAGATGCACCGCGTAGGAAGCATCTTAATCACGTTTCAGTCTTGCCAGACATGGTCTGGTAACTGTGATAATCTTGAGTTACGTCGTGGTGAGCACATCTCTCGACTACTGACCATGAACTACCGTTTCCTCTTGGAGCCTGACTTCCGGGAGTACAGGAAGGGAGGGACTCCGAGGAGCGCACAGACTTCTAGCCACCTGGAACGCTTCTCCTCCATACCTTCCAAATTGCAGCACAGGTGCTCACGACACCTCGAGTTCCCAGAATCGCATTTCTATGAATCTAGACTGAGGAAGTGGACTGAGATGAAATACCCCAACTTTCCCCAAAGTCTTTGCACAAATTCTTCATTCCTGCCATCTTGAGACCACTGTCATTGTTCCTTGCAATGGTTAGTACTTCTGAGACAAAAAAGGTCCCCACACTCTTTACACCTGAGACCCCATTCAATATGTATATTTATGCATGGTACAGGCTTGAGAAATACACCAAACTGGAACAAGAGGACAGACGGGGTCTACTGAGATTCAGAAGACGCAGGGGAAGGTGTGCACTGAGCCGCCACATGGAAGGAGTTAGACTTACTCTGCAATGCTCTGGAAGGCAGACTCAGACCAACCGATGGAAGGTTTAGGAAGACAGATGTCAACCAAGCATAAACCAAAAACCAGTGGAATTCCAAAAGAGGCTGCCAAGCAGTAACTCTGTTACTAGCAGAAACAAACAAAGACAATAAGAAGGTGAGAGAAGACTCCTGCTCTAGGTGGAAAGTTGGCTTAGATCAGTGGTTTTCTAACTGGCTTCGTTTAGGAATTAAAAGTAACTAAGACTAAGTCCTACCCCAGGCTTGCCAAGGTAGCACCTCAGAGGGTAAAGCCCAGGAAAACGAGTACTGAAGAGCCCACCAACCTAGCCAAGCATCACCATGGTCATCGACAGGGAGAGAAACCGCCAGCAGGTGCCTTGTGACGCGCACACGGAACAGGAGTGACACAAGTTCCTCCCATGCGTCCAGAAATAAGTAACCCCTCGAGGAGCCGCCAGACAAACGCAGACGGACGAACAGTGGACAGAAAGGGCCTATACCCTTCAAACTGTTCATGTCACGAGAGGTTGAGGAGCTGTCACAGGTGACGAGTGACCCTGGGTTGGGTCCTGGACCAGGAAAAAAATTGCTCTAAAGGACACTGTTGAGACATTAGTGAAATGTGAACATGGATTCTGTATTGAATCACAGTATCATATCAATGCTGACTTTTCTGAACTTCTTGATCACTGCACTGTGGTTATACAAGCAAAGTCCTTGTTCTTCGGAGATACATGCTCGTGTATTTGGGGCTAAAGGTCCTGATGCCTGAGACGTAATTTCAATTAGTTCATCATCGACTACAACAACATGACACTTATGGGTGGGGGAGAGGGGGAGCGTGCTAATGGGACAAAATGCTAACAGCTGGTTCATCCAGAAGAGTATAGTGCAGTTCACTGCGTTATTCTTGCAACTTTGGTAAGCGGAAAATTTCTGCAAAATAAAAAGTTTAACAAAAGCCTTGCTAGGTGATTCTGATGCCACCAGACAAGCTGAACAGCGCGTGGAGACAACTGGGCTCGTCAAGCTCTGAGATTAAATTATTTCTAAGTGTACAGAAATAACAATTTGACTGCTGCTCACCTTGTGATATTCAGACTAAGGTAACGTTATTGCAAAGGAAAAACAATGTCAACGGTTCCATCTTAGCTAAGGATGGCTCACATTTGGGCTGGCTGTGCTGCCTTGTGAAAAGGAAGGTCTGTATGTCGAGGAGGAAGGTGATCATGAAAACTACCCATTCTCCCCAGAAAGGCACCTGACACGTCTTCATTTCCACAGGCACCCAATAAGCCTTAGCAGCAAAAGTTCTTTAGCAAAACAATTCCTGGATACAAGCAGGTCAATAAAAATCCATGGGGTCAAGGGAAAATCCATGGGGTCAAGGGAAAACCTGGGGGGGGTGGTCAGAAGAGTCTGTATTCTCTGCACAACCCCACAGCTCTGTCCCTTGAGGCTTTGCTTCAGTTGCCCTGGGGGGTGGGGTGGGGGAGGGGAAGCAAAGGACAGTATTTCCAAATAGGGAAGTATGTTCTTATTCCGGTCAGACTATTTTCTTTTATGTGTGTAAAATCAAGGGACAGGAAAATGTGCTTTCAAGAACTAAAGTCTTACCCTTTCATCAGAGCTTCATACTAACTAGACTAACCCTGGAATCACAGAAGGGGAACCCGTCAGTTCAAGGCACCTCCCCAACTAAACCTACCAGTAACGGAGCAAACCCCAGTGCCGTCTCAGAAAGACCATGTTATCCTTCCTTTTAAAACTAGAGTTTCAAATATTACTGGTGACCAGATATGTTTACTTTATGCACATTATCTTACTTAAACTCCAAACGACCCAAGAGAGTGGATGGCACGCCCCATTTTACAGACGAGGAAGTCAGAGAAAGTAACTTGTCTGAGTCAACCAAACCAAGCAGAGGTAGCACAGAATGCACTCGGCCTGGCTCGAAGGGCGTGACCTGTGCACGTTCTCCACTTGACCGCATCACTTTAAAAAAGAAAAAAATGGCCTTGGCCATTTGGCTCAGCAGTTGGAGCACTGGCCTGTGGAACAGAGAGTCCTGGGTTCGGTTCCCGCTAGGGGCACGTACCAAAATATAAAAATAAAAAAGAAGAAAAAAGACAGGCTCTTCTATTTTGAAGATCAGAAGACGGAATGTGAAGAGTGGCCCCAAACAAAGCTGATGTGCCCCACTATTCCCGATCAGACTGCTCTGCCACCACCGAGGTCCATCGGCGAAGAAAACCTGCTAGGAGGCTGCCCCAGCCCAGCCCGCAGGGAGCTGTATTCACTGTCAGTGTTTCCCAGAGGAACACGTGACACACCTGCAGAAGTACCTACTTCCCATCCCTGAGCCAGGCATTCAGAGCAAGTGAAAGGCAGCGAATGTGAGCAATGCAGTGACTCAACCAAATACCAGACTGGGCCAAAAAGCAAAACTCGCCTGAAATAAAAACTCAGATAAAAAACAGCAGGTGAGAGCGCTGTGGAAAGAGGCTACCACCCCCACCCAACCCACACACTCTGCCCCAATGTGTGAAGGCACCAGGCAGCGGGATCGGCTGGGGTGGTCACCACCAGCCCACCAGACGGCGCCGGAGCCGGCGCCAGCCTTGTGGGGAGGGAGACAACACAAGGGCCCTGCTTGGCCCTGCAAATTCATGTCCTGTTTCAGAGCCCTCCCAATGGCCAAGAGTGACCGGCCAGAGAGAGAGTTACTGGCTGCGGAGAGGGACTGTGGCTCCCATGTCCCTGGCAGAATTGCATGAACGCAAGGAACCGAGAAGCATGGGCCACAGCTCTGAAGTCACCTTGCCACTTCTCCACACCTCACAGACCCACAAGCTCCTGAAAACCAGATTCCATTGCAACAGAAACACGAAATGCAGGCTTAAAAAAATTATTTTTTAATCCAGGAAGTAAAACTTAATCATCTTTTCTGTGCTTCCTAAAAAGTCAGCTAATTTATTTGACATCTTTTAATTGCATTTTTCTTTTTTGAATTTAAATGATTTTAGAAATCACAATAGTAAGTTATGCATATAATATGGCCCCTTACTTTCCCCCATTTCTGCCACTTCTCAGCTTTTCAGACATTCCAGGAAAAGCACCCAACTTTCCAGAATTAGGATAGATTCTGGGGGAATAAAAGCAACCCAAACCCACGGAGACTGCATTTTCCATTCTAGACAAGCCAGAGGCAGGTGGCTGAAGCGGACAGCAGTCAGGGTAATGAGGAGGAGCCCGAGTGGACAGAGCAGAAGCCAGAGAAGACTGAAGAGAAAGTGCAGCTTGGAGAAATGATGCAGAGAAATCCTGACAGCGAAGTACACACCTTGGCATTGATATAAGGGTCAAAGGGGCCGTACTTTTTGAGTTCTTTGATCTCAAGAGCATTCTACAAAAAGGAGAGGAAAAGAAAATGTGATGATAAAATGGATGAAATATATCAAAGCAATTGCACAGCCCGAGGGGGCCCAACACTAGAACTGGGATCTGCCCTCTGGATGCCTCCATGGAAGTTGACAGGGAAGACAATCTCTGGGGCTTGGCACTCATCACCCCTCTTATCCAAGCATCCAGCTGAAACCACAGCAATGGCGGTTAAATAAACTGGAGCAGTACCTGGAACTACTACCTAGACCCATTAGGTTATTCAAGCGATTGCAGCCCTCTTACCCCAGCCCCTGCCCCGCTACTCAAAGCACTGGGCTGGTGGCCCACGTATCAGTGGCTACTCCAGGCGGGAGGCAGCTGTGAGCAAGACAAGCTAGCACACTCAAGTGGCTCAGAAGTCCAAGCAGCTGTGTCCCAAGGCAAAAGTGAGCAAAGAGGATTAGAAATGGTTACTGAAAATTTCTTAAATGAGAAGGACTTTAATGGGTGACTAGTTTTTTTCAATATTGAGGACTATTACTTAAAAACAAACTTCCTTATAAACTTCCTCCAGATATGAGAAATTACAATCACTTTTGCCAGGAGGAATAAATTGCATTTAGATTCTAGCAGGGGTGGGGAACGTCCGGCCCACGGGCCATACAAGGCCCATGAAATCAATACCAGCTGACATCACACACCTCACCAAATCAGCCTGACCAAACAGAGCAAGTTGATGATTTTGTATGGCCCTTGAATGATGTTATAAATATCCAATTGGCCCTTGGCAGAAAAAAAAAGTTCCCCACCCCTGACCATTTTCATTCCCGATGTCACAAAAACAAACATCCTCATTGATGATCTTAAATGTCTGTTGCTCACCAAACAAAAAATACAGACCAATATGGGGAAGGGAAGCTGATTAACAGCTCTACACACACAATCTCTAAGTCGAGACATTTGGGAGCAACGCGTCCATCCCCCCACGTCCCGAAGTGAAGCTGCCCTCCTCTGAATGGATCATGCCTAACAGCCCCAAGAACCTGCCTGGTCTCGCTGACAGATGAACTGTCAGCCATCACCTACTTTTTGAGGAATAACCCTGATCTACTCACACAGGTAATTTAGCAATCTCCTCTCAGCAAAGTCAGTAGGAAGATAATCCCACACTCGGTGAGAAAGCAGCATCTCTCCTTCAAACAGCTAAGAGAAGTGTCTGCTTCAGTTCTGAGCAGAGAGAAAGCAGGAGGACGGCCTCTCCTCTCAGACCCAAACGACAGGGCATTTTATAAGAGGACTGTCTAGAACATGAGTAATTCAAGCGTAACTTTTCCAGAGTAATAAATGTAAAATAGAGGAGTACCTAAGCCCACTGTGAGCTACTTTTACTCAAATGCTGCCTTTTTCTTTTCTAAGAATTATCTCTGCTCTGTCACAGCCTGGTCACTCTTAGACTAACAACAGAGGGCACCCTGCTGAATCCTCCCGCCCTCCACTGCCGTTTTTGGGAGCTCACTTTCAGCCCGGCTCGAGTCCTCCCACTCCTGCAAGTGCTGATGCGTGTAAAACAGCAGCATGGCTCACACAGTACGGACATGCACTGAGGATTTGTTTACCAGCTGAAGTCACAACGCCATATCAATGGCATAAGCACAATATGCAATTAATTAAACCCACCAGCTTGAAATGGACTCTAAGCAACTTTGAAGAATATGCATTATTTCAAATAATGCACAAGTTAAGTATTTAGATTTTTATTCTAGTATTAGCCACATCTGCGTGATTCAAATGCATAGAAAATACATCTCCTGGACTAAGATCTCTGATGCACTAAGAGGAGTCATGCTGGGAGGAGGGGAACCACCCTCAGGTAGGCTTGGAGAGGCCGGTTCCCGAGACCTGAGCTACGGGACCACGGTGGGGTTGCTGAGGTCTTGGCTGTGGCTAAATGGAAGAAAGCTTCCCTTCCTTCCGACCTGTTCATTGACTCTGGTGTGCGAGGGCCCTTGGTGGATGAGCAACCGCACGATCTGGGCATCTCCTTTCCAGGCTGCCAAATGCAGAGGGTAACAGCCTTTGGAATCAGCCACATTGGTCAGCGCATCATTTCTCAGAAGAACCTCGACCACATCCCTAGAAGGCAAAAATCAATAATGAGTTTGCAGAACTCAGAAGTCTCTCCTACAAACAGCTAGCTCTTTACACACTTGTACAGCTGTTACCTCATTTGGCTCCCCTGCGTCTACCTGAGATCATCACCCAGCCTCTTCCTTTTATTCCAGGAGCTATTTGTGCAGTCGCTGACACACAGCTGAACCCTCCTGTGTCACACAACACACTCTTCAGCTCCCTTTTATCTAGTCTTTTGAGATAATCTGTCCACTTTCCATTACTTTGAAAACGTCTGGCCCTGTGTCCAAGCCTTGCAATGTTTCCTTGTCTGTGATGTTTAAACAGCATTTGGGGAGAGAATTTACATAAAACGTCATGCGAGACAGACATTATTCACCACATTATTCAGAGCAGCCAGTATGTGGGAGCTGAGAGCGGACAGGCAGAGCAGGATTGAAGCTGTGGCAAACATAAGCCAGACACATACAGTATCATTTGATACATCCAGGAAGAAGGACTTGGCTTTCTTCTTGGTGACACCACTAATTAAGCAGATACAAATGTATAATTATCCCCATGCACATGAGGTCAAAGAAAATTCCCACTGTAAATAAAAACAGCATCTGGAGATCAACTTGGCTAACAAGCTAGTCTTTTAAGTTCAAGATTCACTTTAATTCAGGTTACACCACTATTTAAGGGGGTGGGGGTCTCTACATATTTCTTGTTAGCTTTGTCTAAAATGGCATAGAAAGGCCCGGCCAGTGTAGCTCAGTGGATTGAGCGTCGACCCATGCCCCACGAGGTCACCGGTTCGATTCCCAGTCAGGGCACATGCCCAGGTTGTGGGCCTGATCCCCAGTGGGGGGCGTGCAGGAGGCGGCCAATCGATGTTCTCTCTCATCGATGTTTCTATCTCTTTCCTTCTCCCTTCCTCTCTCTCAAAAATCAATAAAGAAAAAAAATTTTTTAAATAAAATAAAATTGCACAGAAAGGACATAACAATCACGTCCAATGTATTTTAGAAAAGTTTAAGGCAGGAGGTAGCACTCACTGTCTCTTTGGCTGGCCAGACACTGCACCCGGGGCAGAGTACCGCAGCTGGTGCGCCCTGCTCAGAAAACCTAAAATGGTTCCAATGACCCCTCCTCATAGAAACCACCCTTCTCCTGCTGACCTCGCGTGGTGTACATGTCAGTTCTCTCCGTTCTGTTGCAGTCTGGTCTCCATTCTCCCACCCCTGGTGGATCTACTCACTGCTCCCCACAGTGTGCCTGCCCCCGGCGCAGCCCTGTTTCCCCCACCTGATGGGCAGCACCCTCTTTCAGCTGCCAATCATCAACATGTGCCTTCTTCTGCTAAACCCCCAAGCACACCCCCAGAAAACTCTCCATACAAACACACCCAATTCCCAATAACCTCTCTACACGTAAGAGAATTAAATCAACCTTATTTTTCATGTATTTCTTTCCTTAAAAATGATTCTTGTTGTCCATGAGGATAATCTATGAGAAAAAATGTTAAGCTAAAAGACAGAGTAAGTAACTAAGTACTTTAACAGAAGGAAAGGTTCTCAAGACCATTTGATCGATTTTCAGCTTAGAGAGGGGCTGTTCCCTAGCAGGGTATCTAGCTCCTTTATGACCTGGCTGCCTAATTTGATCTTCACATTCAGATGACTGTGTCACTGCACATTTCAGGGGGAGAAGGACACAGAAGAAAAGGTAAAACAACCTTTGGTTCAAGTTTTTGGAGAGATGGAGTGGGGAAGGATGTTTAAGTTGTTATACACTAAAAAGAGATTCAGAATTCTGGGTGGGCTAAATTTAGTTTGTTTTTCTCAGTAACTGTTTCGTAATCCTTTATAGCAGCGGTTCTCAACCTGTGGGTCGCAATCCCTTTGGGGGTCGAACAACCCTTTCACAGGGGTCGCCTAAGACCATCGGAATATTTCTGATAGTTTTTACAAACCAAGACACTGCTCCTATATCTGTCTCCAGGCGGATCCACCCACATACAACATGAGGAACTGTATTAGAGGGTCGCGGTGTTAGGAAGGTTGAGAACCGCTGCTTTATGGGAACCAAGAGGATGGGCAGAGGCCTCGGCTCTGCAGGGTGGGCGAGAACCCAGCACCGTAATACTTACTTATGGCCGTTCAGAGCAGCATGATGCAGAGGGGTGTACCCAGTGCTGTCAACACAGTTCACATTCGGCCCTCTCCAGATGCTGCAGAGAGAGAAAAAAGACCAAAGTCACAAACCAAGTTTAGAGACAGCTAGCTGCTTGGGAAAGGACCCTGTGTGATGTTAACCAAACTGGTTGCTCCCGTAACTTCTGACCAGCACTGTAGCAGTCCCCCTCGAACACACAGCGGCACCGGGACTACACAGTGGTCTGCTGAGCAAGAAGTCAAATGTCAGGACAACAGGGTCATCATTTCAGAGCCAGTTCTTCTGCACCCTTCTCGTCCATAACTTCATAAACCACTCCGTCATAAACAACTCAGTGAACGGACATCAGAAACAGCACTGAACCAAACCCCACAGCCAGTCACAGGTACTGAGCAGCCCCCTCTATGCCAGTGCTGGAGGCTTGAGGGAGACCTCCACAGAGACCAGAGAGATCATCACAAAATTCAACCACCAGGACCAAAATCAAAGAACCCACATTCATAAAAGCACAAGGATATAGGTGTTAAGATGCAAGCGACAGTTCTTTCCTCTGTGAATGTCTTACGATAATAAAAAAGCAACAACAGAACCTACGATTCCAGTGCTTTATTTCAATCAAAAATACTATACTAGGGCCCTGGCCGGTTTGGCTCAGCGGTTAGAGCGTCGGCCTGCGGTCCGGAGAGACCCGGGTTCGGTTCCCGCTAAGGGCATGTACCTCGGTTGCAGTTTGTCCCCGGCCCTGGTTGGTCGTGCAGGTGGCAGCCACTCGATGTGTCCCTTTCACATCGATGTTTCCCTCTCTCTCTCTTCCTCTCTCTCCCTCCCAATAAAAGAAAAAAAGAAAAAAAAAAATACTATACTAGGAAGGTTGAAATGTCATCTTATTTCATCCCCAAAGCCTTAATTCTGACTTGTTTCACACTTACAGCATTGGCCAGAGCTTCTAAAATACAATAAGTAGTAGAAGGCAGCCTTGTTTTGGCCTTGCTTTTAATAGGAATGCCTGTAATGTTATGGGCAGTTGGTCTGAGATAGATACTCTATAACATGTAAAATAAGTGTCAATGCGCCCTGGCCGGTTTGGCTCAGTGGTTGGAGCGGCGGCCTGCGGACCAGAGAGACCCGGGTTCAGTTCCCGCTAAGGGTGTGTACTTGGTTGCAGTCTGTCCCCGGCCCTGGTTGGTTGTGTGGGTGGCAGCCACTCGATGTGTCCCTTTCACATCGATGTTTCTCTCTCTCTTCCTCTCTCTCCCTCCCACTCTATCTGAACTAAAAATGGAAAAATGTCCTCAGGTGAGGATAAAATAAATAAATAAATAAAGTGTCATTGCCCTGGCCAGTGTGGCTCAACTGGTTAAGCATTTATCATCCTATACACCAAAAGGTTGCCAGTTCGATTTCCAGTCAGGGCACACACCCAGTTTTGGGTTTGATCCCTGGTGGGGGCTGCCTGTAGGAGCAACCAATTGCAGTTTCCCTCTCACACTGATGTTTCTCTCTCTCTCTCTCTCTCTCTCTCTCTCTCTCTCTCACCCTCCTCTCTCTTTAAAATCAATAAGGACATTAAAAAAATTAAAATTAAGTAAAATTGTTAAAAATGGTTGTTTAAGTGCATTTTCTGCATCTACGAAGAAAAACGGTTTTTCACATTTAACCAACTAATATGTTGTTATCAATAGGTTTCCTAAGATTCTTTCATTTCTGGAATAAACAAAAAACCTTTTTTGGTCATTCTCTATTATACCCATGTCAGTGAATTCTACTTGAGAGTATTTATTTACGATTTTTAAATCTGCATTCATTGGTGAGGCTGCTCTAAGGTTTTTGCTTTTTGTGCTATTGCTATTGGATGGTATTAGTGTTAGGTTTCGGTCACAATTAGCTGGATAGGTATCTGCCCATTTCTGTATTCAGGAATCAATGACACAGAGCACTAAAGCTATAAACAATCGCCAGTAAAACCATCTGGGCCCAGATCCTTTATGCTCGTATGTTGGAAGCAGCATTATGTATAACAATAAAACTTTGAAAATAGCCCAAAAGTCTATCAATAGAGAAATGATTTGATAACTAAGGTACAAACACAAAGAATTTCATATACTAGTTCTGTTGCTATGTAGTAAGACAGAATAGAGATTACAATATAATGTTAAGGAGAAAAAAGAAACAATTATAAATACTGTAGAGAAAGACTAGATGAGGAAAATTTCTTAGGATAGTGAAATGAGTGCACAAGTTTACTCAACCTCCTGGAAAAGTTCCCTAAAGTGAAGCCCTGGCTGGTTTGGCTTGGCGGTTAGAGCGCCGGCCCACAGACCAAAGAGTCACGGGTTCGGTTCCAGTCAAGGGCATGTGCCTCGGTTGTGGTTTGGTCCCGGCCCTGGTTGGGGCCATGCAAGAGGCAACCAAATGATGTGTCTCTCTTACACTGATGTTTCTCTCTCTCTCTCTCCTCCTCATACTCTATTGGAAGATAAATGAAAAAATATCCTTGGGAGAGGATTAAAAAAAAAGTTCTATAAAGTGACAGAAATAATATCATGCTACATGACAGACAGATAGACAAATGGATAGATAGATTCAGCCCAAGAAAATAAGAAAAGGTGCTATCAAGTAACTGACAATACTGAGGAATTCCTACAAGGCCGAAATTAGACGAGGTCGGATCTACGGAGACACAACCCAGAAGAATTAAAATAATCATGTACCGTTTTTCACCTATCAGACTGACAGAAATGAAAATGATGACACTGTAAAGTGTTTATAAAGACCAGGGAAACAACCACTTTTGAATACCACTGGTATGAGTTTAAATTGGTGAATTCCTGTGGAAAGACAATTTGGCAGCATCCACTAAAACCAAAAATAGGCATTCACTCTGAGCCAGCATCTCCACTTCCAGGCAAGTGTCCAACGGAAACGCGCACATGTGTATGAGGCCCCACACTCGCTCAGGACGGCTTGACTGAAGAGTAAAAACTAAAACTTATTGTCCATCTACAGGTGAGCAGTTAGATATCAGGCACACCCACAAAGTGAATTATTATATAACCACCACGAACAATGACAACAAAGGAAAGAAAATGAATTGAACCTATACATCCTGACATGGAAAGATTTCTCAAAACATAGTTTATTATGGGGAAATGAAAAAAATAAGTCATTGTATAATATATAAAACACGCATGCCATATACCTGTACACACCACCGGAAGGCAACGGGAAGGGTGCCCACCAGTGCTGCCCCCCTGGGGAAACGTGAGTTGGCTGCAGAACGGTGAAGAGGAACATTCACCCTGATCTGATCTGCATTCTACCCAGTTCAAAATATTTACAATGAAAATGTAATCAGGAGGGGAGGAGAGAGACAGAGAAACATCAGCTGGTTGCTTCCTGCATGACGCTAATCGGAGCCGAGGATCGAACCTGCAATCCAGGTCTGTGTCCTTGACTGGGAATCAAACCTCTGACCCTTTGGTCCACAGGCCAATGCTCTAAATGCTGAGCCAAACTGGCCAGGGCTCATGTAGTATGTTTATAATAACAACTTTTTAAAAAAAAAGAGGAGAAAGAACCTATACATAGAGAAAATAAGACAAAAAATGGAATGCTAATAATAAATGGCTGCATATGTGAGACAAGGGCCACTTTAATGAGCTTGTAGGTATTAGGCCTAAAATCTTAAGAAAAATTTTCAGTGAAAAGAAAAGATGTGTGTTTTGATAGCTGGGTTATTTGTTCACTGTTAATTAAGGATGCTGGTGACAACATCAGGACCATGAGGTACGTCCTGGTGTCCCCGCCCTCCACTAAGTTCGATTCCTAGAGCACCTTCCAAACAATGATAAAGATGCACTCTGAACGATGCTCTCTGTCACACCTGTATAATGATGTCATGTACTAAACCCAAAGTCACACACACCGTTCCTGACAATGAGTGAATGGTGCAAAGTGAAATGGATATGAAAAATCTAGGAGGTATAGTTTTCATACTTATTTTCAAGTTGCGCGACAAGACAAAAGATTATCATTCTATCATAAAAGAGGTAACACTAATATCCCAAACCAAATTGTTTGCCCCAAATCACAAGCCAAGTCAGGGGCAGATCCAAATCTCCCATCTATGGGGCTCTTGGTGTCTGGCCAAGAAAAGACAAGGAAGAAAGATAAGAACTTTCCTGCATAAAGCTGCAACATCTCCAGCTACTAAGGCCTCACCCCACTTTTTCTCTAACTGGCATTTCCTCAAAACACCCATCTAGAATCCTGAGGACTGGGAATTATTAAATAACATCTAAATGAAATGGAGAACTGTAACCTCTCTGCTTGGAATTTTAGCTTCAGACAGGATGTAACATCCCCCCCACCCAAGCTGCTTCCGTGCTGGCAGCCCAGGAAGAGAGCTATTTGCGACCTGGGTCTTCCTCCCAGTCACAGCTAGCCTATCAGGCTGCTCGGGAACAGTGCGCACCGAAGGGCTGCTTACCAACAAACAAAGTGAATACAATGTCCCAAGAGAACCAGAAAATAACAAAACAAAAAAACCACATGAACAAAACATGGTCCAGGAGATTCCTGAACAGTCTAGCCCAGAGTGCGGAGAAATGCAGCAGCTGCCTGACTGCGGACCAACCACGATGGGACTCGGAGCAGTGCGTCCAGCAACCCTGCGTGAAGAAACCGTAGAACTGGGTTAGGAGCCGAGGCTCTGCAGTGAGTCGACTGCACTTCAAAGCTGGCCTCTGCCACTGTCCGTTTTGTGAACTGGGACAAGTTACTGGCCCTTCAAACCACTGTGTCAGGCTCCCCAAGACTTAAAGGGCTCATGGAAAAGAGAACGGAAGCGGCTACAACCTGTTTAGTAGCATCAGGGCTGAGGCCTACAATGTGTCACAGCACCCAAACGCATGGGCCTGACGTCGAAGCCTCGCGTCTGTGCCTCGGAAGCACCTGTTTTGAGATGGCATCTAGAGACACTGGAAGGCAAGGAAGATGAGTGGTGAGAAGCTGCAGCTTCTGAATCTACCTCAAACACCTCTCTCCATTCATTTA